CATTGTTTCAATAATTTTGAATTCATAAAGGCACTGGACATTCAAAGACAAGTAAACACCCAAATGTCATAGTTAATATACCACTGAAAGTTTTCAAAACGTATATGATATTACAGTATTATACATTCTGATCAAGGTTTTTTGCAGTTTTCATGTCACTGTGATTCCCTAATTTTTGTTGCTGTTTAGATTTTCAATGAAGGAGAACAGCATAACTGTTCCTTCTCTATGAGTATTAGTTCACTATTACTGATCTGTCTAAATTTAGTCTGGATCTTGCAGTAATTTTCTTAATATCTTCTCTTTAGGATTCCATGTTCACCCACCTTGGTTTCACTTAGTGTCATTTGTTTACGCCCTTAAGACCGGAAGTCTTTTCAAAGACTTTAGCAGATTTGTATCAGCAGAGGAAACATTTGAAGTTACTGACACATTTCAAACTGACTGATGGTCATGTTTCAAAGTAATAATGGGTAATAGTGCTGCTTTATTGGCTGTGTACACAATCTCAACACAGACCTGCAGATGCTCTTACAATGAACTTAGAAGGCAAGAAAATTATACTGAGATTAAAAAAAAAAAAAATCTGTTTTCACCTGCTTGATGGGATTAAAAATATGTGCCTGTATATTTTTCACAGTATTTCTTTAAGAATTCTATTTTCCACCAGGCATTATCAACCTATGTTGCATTCAGCCACAATACTTTTTTTTAAGATAGAGAAAATAAAATGAAAATTACAGAAAGTGCGTCTAGAAGAATCTATTCTCAGAGTGTGTGGCACCACCATGGAGAGACCTCCTCAGGGGGTCCTCACTGCGAATTAGTTCAATATGCAATCTGCCAAGTTTGCTGAGCACCACTTTCCCATTTAGCATGTGCAGATTTACATGTCACTATCTAAAAGAAAGTCAAACAACATCTGTTCCTCATTACAAACACTGTGAATCTCATCAGATAGAGCAGGAACAACAGGGGCAATGGTGTATTGAACAAACCAGTTTTTAAAGGTCAAATTGAGGGGGGAAAGCATTTATATATATAGCTATAAAAACATGAGTACAGCTATTTAACATATTCCTAGTCATAGAAAATAAAGTGTCTTAAATTCTAAAACATGACATGAAAAAAATCCACAAAATTAAAAACAAAACAAACAAAAAACTTTTTATCATGACTCAAAATCAGGTAAATACAAAAAAAAAATCTAATAAATATATTGTGTTAATAAAAACTAAGTCTACCTCAATTTTTTTTAGGCTGGGGGAAAATGAAACTATCAGCAAGAACTTGATGTAATTGTCATCCTTATGATCTCATCGGTCCCTCAAGGTTGTGATCCACATCAGACCACAATGCCACAAGAGGTTGCTTATTAATCGCATCCTTTGTGATTTCAAGCAGGTAAGAACGTCGCCTTCCAAGCAGTCACATGCAATCTGCGACTATTTGTACAAACACCTTCACGGTAAAGTCTTTGTGAGTCGGAGCTGAAAAACAATAGAAGGAAGCTGACATTTCCCACCTACTGAGGGTCACAGCTCATGGCTGCAGACTTTGAATCCTGGGATGCGAGACCTACTTCCTCCCGATGGGACTCTGTTTCTTTCCTTTCATCCGCCTCACTCTGGAAATGAGAATTATGTTCCTTTAGCTAGAGAAAAGAATCCCCACTTTGGCCAGTGAGAGGTGCAATGCCGAGAGCCAAATTGACTAAATGAAATTCCAGTATGTGCTGAGTGGGAAGAGAGAGGTGGGGAGCCATGGTTGTGCAGCTGCAGGTTTGTGGGATTTAACTCCAAAAGACCCATTATTTATCTGAAACACACAGATGGGGTTTCAAATCAAGAGGAAAGTTTAGATGTTTTGGTCAGATTTAGCAAGTTTGTCATTGGTTTGTTGGCACTTTTTACTCCTATATTATTTTTTTCCCTTATCAGAGGCCAGATTTAACAACAATTTTGACCTTATGAGGATGTTACTACATGAAAACCAACTCTATTGCCTTACTGGTTTCATATGTTAAGGTAGGTCCCATGTTGTGATGGAGATAATGTTTTTCCCTGCTAGTTAAGAAGATGAAGGTACTTTTACCTGTGCTGCCGCAGAAAATATCAATTATTGGTCTGGTTTTCCATCCAGTGGCTCCAACTCATCCTTCATAGATAACACTGTCTTTGAGGAGGAGCGCTGTAGACCCATCCATCCATGCATCCAGCCATGCATCCATCCATCCATCCATCCATCCATCCATCCATCCATCCATCCATCATCTTTACCCACTTTTTTCTTTTTAGGTCATGGGGATCGCTGTTACCCATATCCAGCTGTCACTGTGCAAGAGGTGGGGGACACACTGGACAGGTCTCCTGTCCATCACAGGAATACATAGAGACAAACAACTATTCACTCTGTCATTTACACCAGTACCAGAGAAAAGCCATGCATTCACAGAGAGAACATACAAATTCCACCCAGAAAGGTCTCTGGCTGGGATTTGATCCAGCTACCTTCTTGCTGAGAGGTGGCAGCTCTATCAACTGGGTCACCGTGACGTCCGCAGTAGACCTAAAAATTAAAAAGTGAAGAGATTAGAAGGGATGATAAAGTTGAAAAATGGATATGCTAACAATAGGAAGTGGTGATAAAATGAGTTGTGTTTGAAATAAAGGTCTCAAAGAAGCTTGGCTTCACACTGAAACTACTGAGATCAGGCCTAGTGACCGATTCTGTTTACTCATCAATGACCAATAATTTGTTTATTAACTTTTATTTTCCCAGGCAAATTCCACTGAGATCACAGATTTATTTTGCAAGGGAAGTTAAACATGCATGTTTTGGACTGTGGGAGGAAACTGGAGTACCCAGAGTACCCACACAAACATGCAAACTCTGCACAGAAAGGCTCAATGTCCAAACTGGGAATTGAATCCAGGAACTTTTTACTATGTGGCAACAAAGCTAACCAATAATACTCACTTTCTCCAAAAACTTCTCCACCATAATGTTTAGTTTGTTTTGATATTAGCAGAAAATCAAAAAGGGACAAAACTAAAAGCACTGGTTGTGGGCTGCACTAAGGCAACAACTTACTCTATTTTACTAAGCTTCAGTTTAGAATGTAATTTATTGAATAATTAGTTCCACCTCTTGGTATATTAGACACATTTTCTAGGGATGGGAGGAGACCTTGACCTGATTATGCTTCAGTGGAAAAACAAGGGCCTGTCCAAAGTGAGACAAACGTATCCTCTTGGGAGCACAAATGAGCTTTTCTGAAACATGTCCAAAAATTACAGACATACCTCAGTCTGGACTAAAGAGGTAGATTGAACATCTGGGAAACTGTAGCATTGCCAAAACCAAAGCTTGCAAACATGGCTGGAAGGCACGAGTGAGAAACTGAACAGCTCATTCTTTCTCAGTGTTACAATTTAAGTTTATTTTATGACACATTTGTTAATCTTTGAAGTCATGATCTCATCTTTTTTTTAATTCTAAACTTCTGCAATGCACCACGTAAAAAAAAAAAAAAAAAAAAAAAAAGCACCAACGCGTATGACTGTAATTCAAATGTGGCTTTTTTATTATCACTGTTGAAAGGCATACATTACAGTGCAAACCGATCTTTGGCAAAAGTACAATATGACTGTCATGACTGGTACTGTTATATCCTCATTGACCACCGTTTTAGGGACAGCATGGGCAAAGCAGGTTCAGTGTAGAGCAGTGCATTCTGTTGACACACGGAACTTTAAATCAAGATGAGGACTGTTGCAGTTGTGCTTTGGCACCCAGACCTTGTAACACTTGCCACAAAATGTATTTAGCTTGTTGCTGAGGGGGGAAAGAAGGTATGCAACTGTAAACACGGAAGTATGGCTGAACACACGATATGACAGCAGTGTGGCTGCAGCCCCCATAATCCATCTGATATCTTGAGCGGAAAATTGCGAACTGATTTTATTTCCGTTCAGGAACAGATGCTTGCCGCAAAAAGAAGCAATGAAAAGAAACCCGAGCCCAACGGCATGATGAGGAGCAAAGCAAAACAGGAAAACAAAATCTGTTAAACGAAACAAGCCAGTGCACAAATGAGTGGTATTTGTCTATGTACAGTATGTATAAAAATTCTGTTGAAGAAATTGTTTTTGCTTTGTCCCAATCACAAGCCCCACACCACCATTAATCCCCCCCACTCCCCTTCTCATATGGCTTCTATTACAGTGGAATGAGGGTCAGAGGGCCGGAGAAGCCTACGTTCCACTAAATGACGTCAGCTCAGACTCAAATCTTCAACATGGCAAAAAAACAAGAACAGGGTCAGCATTCCTAAAGCCGAAGTCTCTCCTTACAGGAAGAACGGAGAAGAAAATCTGGGGAAAAGGAGGGGTTAAAGAATGCATGCAAGCATGTCCTTGTGTAAACTGGAGCTTGAGAGCTGCAGGGCCTCAAGAGCAATGATTCAGCCCGGTACTTCAGTGGTGTGTGAAACTATACAAAAGTGAAACAACTGTGAGAATGTCAATAGGGGAATACTGCTGCGGTAAAGTTAGCAGTACCAAAGGCTGGGCCAAAACAATTACAACATTCGGACAAGGTTTCATCAATAAACATGTTTTTTTTCATTATTCTAGAAGTAACAAAATAACATTTTTTGGATTTAGAAGCTGAAAACCTTGGCATGAAGTTTAAACACTACAGTAATAATCTCATGGTACTACTTCCTGGAGGCACAATGACAGTAGAAGAGGATGACATTGTTGCAAGAGTTAAACTGATGGTCCTGTAACAGAAAATGACTTCACCTCATCAAGCTCAGGACAGGCCAGCGTTATCCACAGATAGAAGAGTGACAATCAGTAGACATGCTTCTTTTGCATTATTCTTTTTTTGTAGGGTTTCACATTATCTTCACAAGTAAGCATTTTTTTATACAAAAAGGTAAAAAAAAGTACATAATATAAAGCACCATAGATTAAAAGATGAAATAATTCTACAAATCAAAAGTCTCTGAATAAACAATTCTCTCAGTTCTGATGCATTATTACGAAAATACTGAGTGTATATACTGCAGTTGCTTTGCATACAAAGGATAATACTTTTAAGGCGCGTATTTAGTGTTAAAATCAAAGACAAAATGGAAAATAGCACCAGTTTTTGGCATCTCTAACCTGAGAAAATTTTGTGAGACATCAAAGCGGTTGCAACCTTTCCATTAACATTTCCTTCCCGCTTGTCAACGTCATCTGGTCCTGTTTGTATATTTTTAGTTATTACACTTCCGAAGTCTCAGTGAGCTAGGAGATGTTTAGTTCGACCTGTTTAATCCTTGGAGTGCTTGCTGGAGGATTTCAAACCGAGCCACACACTTCTGCAACAAACAGAAATTTTGAAACAACCCTGATTAAAAAAAAATATAAAATCTAAAAAAAAGAAAAAATATCTTAGAGGTTGTTGGGTCTGTCGAGGTTAACTGTGGCTGTGGATCAGTCTTATCTCTTCTCTCATTGAGTCTGATTTTTATGTGACTTGCAGACTTTAGTTTATCAGGGTGGGGGTAGAGTAGCTGGGAAATCCTGGTGGTTATTTGTGGTGGGTGTTGACTTTTTGCCTTTCATCAACATCTCCTTGATGGATACACACTGGGCAGCAGGCGCCTTTTAGCTTGACAGGTTGTTTGCACTCAACAGTTGGACAAGACTCCACGAAGCAGGTCACCTGAGCATCCTGAGGAGACAGCAGAGAGGACAGCAAGTCGTATTAGAATAAAAGTCCACTCACAGAGCCAAACACAGACTGAAATTTGCATTTAAGAGTGTGGAACAAAATAAACTGAGCTGTAAAGCGGGCAACAAATTCCTGCATGGTGTAAAAGAGGCGTGTATCAGAGGCAGCAGGGTTTGGCATGAGGACACCTCTGAGAGCAGTTGGCATCAGATAAAATGATGAAGGCAGAATGTGGCAGGTGCGTGTACCAGTGCCAGGAAAAAGTTAAAGCCAAGAAGTGAAGGTCTTCAAAGAGGGCAAAATGAAAAAAAAGAGGGGGGGGGGGGGGTGCGTGCACAGTAGAGCTGTTATTTCTAACCCAAGCCTTAAACCTGGCCCCACCCGACCCGAATTTGGGGTGGGCCTGGCCATTTCACCACGAGCTGACCGGCCTTGAAAGAGGTAAAAAGTTCAGTTAAGCTTCAGATAGGACTGTACTGCCAGGAAGTGATCCATCGCCAAAATGGACGCTCATTCAGCCACTGCACTCAGAGGACGCGTGCGGCCGACGACCCAAACAGGTGAGATCCCAAAGCAGACGTGTCAGAGCAGGGTCCGTGTCTGAATAAATCAGAATGCAGGGAGAAGCAGGGATTAAATGCTCTTTTACAGCCATGAAAGGACAAACACCCCCTCAGCTCCGATCTTCTGCCCCTTTTATTCAGCTGCGCATCTCCGACAGTTAATAAATAATTTAAAATGTCGGGGGGGGGGGGGGGGGGGGGGGTCCTGGTTCGGACCTGTAATTACTGTTAATTGGTCGGGTGGGGTTCAGAAATGATGACTGCAGGCCTGGGCCGGGTCGGATCTGTAATTTTGGGCCCGAATGTAACTCGGGAGTGGTTTTAAAAAGTTAAACTCTTCACATATAGATGATGGACATCAGGTCATCAGTGAAAAATGTCAGGATACTTCAACATAATCAAGGATGAGAGCATGTGTTTGTGTGGCTAAAAACATACCCTGCATTCACATTTAGAGCAGGAGTCCTTTCTCCACAGTTCTCCATCCGTTCGCTCACGCCCCTCACCATCAATGCAGTCAGTCTTGTGCAGGCGAGCTTCAAGTCTTTTAATCTGCAATAATATAAGAACAAATACAATCGGCAAGGAAGAGCCAACCTTTGAACCTACACATCCCAAAAAACAAGCTCAGTGGTCATGCAGTCAATTTGATGAGCAACAGGTTATTTGAAACTGTTAAATTTAGTAACGTAAGCGTTTAGTGCATTTTTAGGGTTGGACTATGATTATATGCCACAAACATGCAAAAAGCGATACGTATATTTTAGCATGGGGTCATTCTTTTGTCCTTTTTATAGATTCTCATTAGATTGCACTGTCTCAATCAAGTCTCCTTGGAAGAGACAGGTTCATCAGGATAGAAAGGATCATGGTGTTCAATAAGTGATTGTAAAAACAGATGTGCAACAATAAATCTCTATGTTGAGCTAAGCATACCTTTAATAACAGTTTAGTTTCTGATGGAGCACAAACACACCTGTTTCCGTAAACTTGTGATGGTCTTCTGCATGTCCAACACAAAGTCCTGGAAGTCACTGATCAAAGGTTCGGTTGTAGTAACATTTGAAAGAGTTTCTTGGGCTTCTCTCACTAAACTGGTAAGATAAAACACACAAGAATTAAAATACAACAATTTCATACTCATCATTAATAACAGTAATTATTCAGTTCACTCTTACCTTGATTTTAGGAATTTTTATTTTCTTAACAAAAAGTAAGAGATACAAATGAATCATAACATAGCAATAATGTCTGTTTGCCATGCTACCTTTTCTCCTGGACACTGTTGGCAGATTTCTCCTCTTTGTAGCTGTATTCGGCTGATCTACGCCCCCTGAAGTGGTATGACAGGGCATTGAACTGTCCTTTGGTTCTGCAGTCTGGTAGGATAAAGGAAACAATACACTACTGCTCATCATCATGGGTAAAATGCCTTCAGATGCTGAGTGGAAAAGTTAAAAACCAATCTATGCAACATTGTGCAGGTTCATGACATGCTGAAGAACAATCTCTGAGCAACGACCCAAGCTATCACCTAAAATCCTACAGATCTTGCAGATAAAATGTATGAAATGGTAGAGGAAATGTCAGTACAGTCAATTACTTAGTAGAGTGCATTATTCTGCAGAGAAAGGCTAAATTTAACATAGAGTATATCTACTATTTGGAATGTGTATGGTTTAATAAAGTTAATGGTATTTTGATGACTGTTGCACATCTTACCTTCGCAGCAGTCTTGCCACATGCGCAGGTCAATATGAGGGATATTTTCACAGCTGTCGAAGCCGTGCGGCAGCTTGGCCACCATGAACACGTCTTTTTGAACACGGGTAATGTTGTCCCCATTATCACAGAGAACCCGAGCCAAAGACGTCTGCTTCAGCTGAGTCAGCTGGGCGGGAGTGAACACGCCAGGGTTTTCATACCAGAATCTGACCAACAACAGGAAAGGGTGATGGTATAAATGAGGAAAATTACATAAATTAGATGTTTAGTCTTCTTGCTTTAGCATTACAACTGTAAACATAGATTTAAAAGATTATTCATAGATAAGGGAGAAAGAGCGACAACAATCAAGAAGCTTCTGAGGCACAGACTGAATAAACTAGAAGCATTTTATTCATGCAAACAGATGTGAAATGTGAAATAAGATGTGTTTGATTTGACGTACCTGTCACCATCCCTCACACGCTTAAATTGTAATGAGAGCAGACACATGAGAGTAGGGCCCAATCTACTGCCGGGGACCAGGTCTTCAGACATCAGGGCCGGGAACAGGTCAATATTTAGAGGAGTTCCATACAGCCTGACATGTAGAGAAAAAAAATGCTTGATTCAAAACTATGTAGTTAGTTAGTTAGCATCTTTAATATGCTTTCCAAAGTACTATATTGCTGTTGTTGGCAAATAGTGTTGGTTTGCAAAAGAAAAATTAGTTCCCAAACACAACTTGAGCATTAAATAAAGGTTGAATTGAATTGAATAGAGTATTCTAACAGTTCCTTTTTCGTTGTACAATTACCTTCGAAGTTTCTCCCTAACATCAGGATTCTTGATCTCGTTCTTCAAGTCATCAAATATCTGAGCTGAAGTCAGGTTACAGAATGTCCTATAGTCATTGTATGATGGTATGCCATGGTCCCTTCCTCTCTGAACATTCATGGCAGCCAGATCCAAAGCCACAGCATGGGCCATGGAGAATAACTTTTCTGTTAGCTCTGTGTTCAACAATTGTGTGGAAACACGCATTTTGCCAGCGACACCAAAGAGCCCACGAAGGAGTGGATCAATGCCACCCTCGTTTACGATGCGGAATGGAGAGAAGAAGGCCCGGTGTAGAGAAAGGTGTCCCTGAGATATAGGTTCAAAGTTTTCATTTAGCCTGTAGAGTACTGGATTAATCAGGGTGTGTCCAAAGCGGAAAGCAGCTGTGGCAAAGGCATTAAAGATGCCAGAATTAATGTTGGGGTTATAACCGGTGTATGATCCCATCATCTTCAGGCCTGCATCCCCAAGAATCTAAGAAAAAATAAATCTAGTTTTAATACATCCAACTTTTTTCAAATTATCACACAAATACAGCCTAAAATCTAGAATGATTGTATACATTTATGGTAAGAATAGTTACCTTTGGTAACCAGTGATTGTAGGTGATATGTTGCATCTGAGCCCCGATTATCTTCCTGGTCTCATGGTAGATGGTGTCCCCGTCCCAGTGGGGATTCAGTCTCAATAACTCTGTTGCTATGCGATTGTGTTCCCTGAACCATACAGTATGCATGGCAGTCAAGCCAAGCTGCTCATTGGCACGGTGATCTCCCGCTAAGAAACATGGAATTGGACTCTCATTCTCATCTCTCATACACTCAGTAGGAGGTCCAGTGGCGAATGGCATAAGTGGCTTCCCTGTTCGTTGTATGATACCTTGACGGAGCAGTCCCCTGTGACTTGCCATATCGCGGATTTGCTCCGATTCATGTTGTGAGCTGCCGTAGACATTTGAAGCATCAATATATGAGGTGATTTGGTTGATTTGCTCTCTTGGATAAACACTGTTCATGAGAAGCGATGTCATTCCACTGCCACATACAGGGCTCGATCGCACAAAGAACATGCAGCGAGCACCACTTCGTAGCTGCCGTTGGTCATTGGGGGGGAACTGGATTGGGAAACATGGAGGGTCATTTGTGCAGACCTGAGCACACAGCTGGCCATCAGAAAACCGTGACTGGCTTAGGGCAACCACTGTTGAGTCCAAGTCATGGTCTAGGAACTGACCCCATTGCATGAGAATGTGAGTGTATCGTTCATCAGGGGTGATAGTTTCTGTTCCAATCAATATGGTGGATACAAGCCTTGGCAATGGCAACCTGTATCCATTGTGCACCCTGTCAGTGGTTCCTCTCGGCAGGTTAAATCCATTGTCATACACTGGTTTCAGGAGGCGTTCAAAGGCCGTGAGTGAGGCCCCCCACATAGGATGCTGTAGGTTGTTGCAGGTGCCATCGTGACTGCGGTACTTTTGGTGAAAGCAAATGTCAGAGCAGTTATTGATGCGGCGATGAGCTGTGCAACCAGACAGATTAGCAATCACATCCAGGAAACGAGGGGACACCAGGTCATTGTAGCGAAACGCTGTAAAAAGGTAACATAAATTCAACAAATCAGTAATGTATATGTACAATAAATTGATGTAAATGTGCAAAAGTTTATTAATGAAAAATAAATTGAGGAAAACAAGAAGCTTCAATCAGTTACACATTTTATTTTTGTTTAGCTACATTTTAAACATGGATTTCCTCAGCTGCATTTATGCAATTTTATCCTGTATCTGGAAAATAATAACTACTGTAAACACGTTTGTCTTTTATGAATGAAATCATTTTAAAAATGACCACACACACATAACTGTGAACTGTATGCACGGAGTAAGCAGAATCACGTGACGCATCACTGATGAGATTTTTGCCTACTGTTTTGAGACCTTGACTTTGGAATTTGGTTGTCATCATCTTGCTCTGTTGTTGAGCCAGACATGCCTATATTTGGGAAAGTCTAGACTCACTGTGATTTAATTGATTAGACAAATGTGTTTCTTTCAGGCCAATCAAAACAAACAACAAATCACTAAAATAAATAATCCAGTTAATAGCACATAAGCCTTTGCAGGAAAAAAGTACTAAATATTTCATGAGAAAATATTGATGCTTTTGGAAAGATAAACTTTTAGAGCCAGCACCTAGTGGTTGTATGTTGTATTGCACGAAGAAGCACACCAACAGTGGCTTTACTACTGACAATGAGTGAATCAGTCCATATTTCAGACACAGTAAATAAAGCTCATACTGGATTGTCAGTGTTACACAATTTTTATAGGTTTAGTACTTAATTTAATTAGACCACTGCCGTTGACCCAGTATACACGGTGAGACTGAGAATGAGAACCATTTAATTGACCAAAGTTTGTTCAACCCTGCTACGATATGTTGAATTCAGCCCCCTTTTTAGAATGTTTAGCTTTTATCAACTGACGTTATATCGCAGATTAAAAACATGGCTAGAAACTGCTGACAACATTGCCTCAGAAACTTCTCAGTTAGAAAATGAAAGGGTCTTTTTGTGAACCGTCAGGGCTCTGTAACTTCAGGGATGAAACCTTAGGTGGGAAACTTTCTGAGCACTGTGACATGCTGCTTTAAACTTCTGCAGCACCTCATGACTTATTAAAAACATATATTGTGACTCATATTTCCAAACGTTTCCATTCCTAAATGACCCAGTTTAACTTTAGAATTTACAACTGTTTAGGCAGAAAAGCTGCAAAATATTGAAGAAAATCCCTAAAAGAACATCATGTCCTTTTAAATAAATATTTTATTAGGTGTTGTAGTCATTTACAAGGTCTGACTTTTAGGGTGAAAAGACCTTCTGTGCTGAAGCTGGTCACAGTGTTTCCTAAATGAGCCCCAGATTTTTGATTTGTGAGACCAACCTCTGTTAAAGCTTCAGTGTGCAGCAAATCGTTGTGTTTTAGTGTCTGATCAGTTTGGTGTTGCAGTTATGTGCATGAGAACAAGTGTTAGGTGTGTGAGACCACCCTCAATGAAAGTGAGGTGAGACTTCCTGTTAACACAGTGTGACCAGGCCTCACGTTATGCACATTAATAGTGTATTGTGTACATTTTTGTGCTAGGATTTTTTGTTTTCCCCTAATGTGAGGGTATATTATGCAAATTAGCAAAAATTATGTACCTCATCCTCATTTTACACACGCAGAACTAATAAAACCTGCAACACAAACTTTGTTTAAATTTGTCTAATGCTCTGCAGCGTTTACAGTTTTACTGCTAAATGGTGTGAAATGGGACTAACAAGTCTGTTTACTGACTGTCAGCTGCACCATGATTATCCGTTCCTGAGGTCGTGCTAAACAGAAAATGACAGAAAAATGGAAACATAGCAAAGCCAGTCAGACACAGAGCCAATTGAATTCTTGGTTTTCATAAAACTCTATTTAGAAACTGGATCAATTCTTCCCCCTTGAATCCAAAGTGACACTTTAATAGGAAACTTCACATATTCCACAAGAAGCTAGATTTTTATTTCAGACCCGAGCTAGAAACAGATGGAAACAGTGTGCATACTTAGTATTTATATTTGTGGGATATAATGTATGGGATGGAATTACAATTTTGACCTTTAAAGACATGTGTCCAAGAAACAGACTATTATGTAAGAAAATAGCAGTGTATCATCAGTTTAGCTATTTATATGAAATTAAAGATTAATATTTGTCATCAGAATTCATTGTTTGAGAAATATGTTTTTAAAGTTGGTTTGTTTGTGTGTTTGGGATTCCAGTTTTTATTTGTATTCCTAATTTTTTATGGACAGCTTTCTGGTAAAACGGTCATGTTCACAAGGTTGGCTGAACCACCAATGAATGTTCAATTTGAACAACTTCTTGTTGATGCAGTGAGATTTTTTTTTAGATTAGATTTACCATAGATTGACCCAATTGGTCAAAAGAGGTGTCAATCAAAAGAGGACTGCCTACACCGCCCTTCTGGCACACTGGTATTTAAATTAGAAGTGCCTGGTACAGCGTAGCAGCTCTTTAAAGCAAAATGATGTCACGATGGCTCCACGGGTGGGCTGTTGCCATTTAAACAAAAAAAAGAGTGTCTGCTTAAGACAATGCAATTAAAACCAGTGGTGACAGGCCCATATGGGACAGGTGGGGTGGAGAAGAAAGGCAAAAAATTTTGTAGATACACACAGAAAAAAACAGCAAAAAAATTAAATATTAAGTAAAATATATTGACAATTACTAATTACTGTCAAATTTCAAACAATAATATCATTTATCGCAATATTTTTTGAGACAATTAATGACCCAGCAAAATTTGTTATTGTAATGGGCCTAGCTTCAACATTTAGGATTTTTAATGGAAAACATTGGGATTCCTTCACTCAAATAAAGCTTAGCTAAATGGCTAAAGGGAAGTGTGAACATAAAGAATGGATTTACTTGATAATGATCACTTCCTCTTTTTTCGTCTGTTCAATCGTTTATTTTGTTTCTAGCAATTTTTTTCAGAGGTTTATGCAAAAGCCTACTCTGTAAAGTTTGGTTACTTATAAGTGTGTTCAGTTAGTGTTTGATAAAACCTTTGGTTCAGTTAAAGTGTCTAATTAAATAGGTTGGAGAGGCCTTTTTTTTAAAGTGACTGTAATGTGTTTTTTGTGAAGTCTTACAAATTTTCAACAGTAGAAGAAGCTAACCATAATCTGTGGGTGATACTTAAAATTTATTATGATCTTCCTTAGCTTTGATACAATCTGTTACCAATTTGTAAGCAAGTACCAATTTGTGTGACAGAAATTATAAAACACAGAAAAAAGCTACAACAACCATCACCAGTCTGCTTAAAGCCTTCAAGTGAAGTGCAAAAGTTTTTGATTAGTCTCACCAGTGCCGTTGGTGTCAACCATAAGACCCTGGTTGACATGGTTCTGGATGAGCAGGAGAGTCTGCTCGAAGATCTCGCCGGCACGTGCCTGCCCAACTGTGTACGGATCCCGTGGATATCGGAAAAGAGCGAGCAGCTCTCCTGGAGTCCGAGGCTGACTGGAGGGATGAGAGGCAGACGTACGGTGGGTGAAAACAATACAAGAAAAAAAATCTGTTTTTCTGTGTATCCTTTTAGAACAGGAAACTGCAAATAAAGCTTCCTCTGATGTTTATCAGAAAATGTCTCTACTGCACCTCGATAGTTTAAATAAAGAGAATCCAAAGCAAGCATGCGAGTCACTCATGAGCTGCATCTCCTCTGTGAAAAACCTCCATGTGTTTGTGTGCATGCCTCTGTGCTGTGCTGCAGACCAATCAACTGCTTTATTCAAACCTCTCATTTAAAGCTGCATCCAGCTTTAAAACTGAGCCACATCTGAACACAAACAGCTGTCACACATTGTAAACTTGTGTAAGTGATTAAACACATAGTGCAACAGCACATTGATATCTTAGGGTTTGAAACTTTTTTTATTCTGCTGTTAAACTTGGTCAAGCCTGGAGAGTTTTAGATGAAGCTTTAGACCTCATTTGTTTTCTCCTGCAGCTGACAACATTAAAACCAAGCCACAAAACCCACTGCCAAGACCAAATTAAGGGTGGAGAACTTTTTTTTTTTAGTGTGGCTTATGTAAATAATCGAAAAATTTGGCGATCGTTCCAGTAACAACTAGTTGTGACCTTTTGCAAAACATCCTCCCCACACTCTGATGCATATCAGCGACTCAAAAACTACGTGACACAGTTCTTCTGATAGATTCTCCTCAGCGTTCCTGTTTGGTTTCAAACAACCAAAATGCCATCCGCTAAGAAGAAAGCCATCATTCTGTGATTGCCATTTAACAGATTTAGAAATCCCCTCATTTCAAGAGTGACCATTACTCTGGGATTAGTTTGGTCTCATGATTTCTTGCACGCGTGTGTGCACATGGGTGGGCAAAGTGTAGGTGAATGCGTGCCAAGAAAAGCCCAGCTGCTAACCACATCAGTGAGATGGATGGAAACTAAAAGGTGAGCTGAAATCACAAAAAACAGACGTCGTCACCTATAAACATGAAAGTGTGAGTCACTGTGACGAGGAGGCTTGAGAAAACGAGAGCAAATGGGAAACAAAGTCAAGGAGGACATGGGGAAATGTACTAGATGTCAACATGAAGTGGGACAAATGTCTAATGCACCAAGACCATGTTGACCTGGATACGTTTTTGTTTAATTTTGTTTAACTAATAACCCCAATTTGTACAAGTTTTACATATATTCAGTGCAAAGGAATGCATTATTTTTGGAATATTGTTCAAAGATTTTTTTTTTTTAATTACTGAGGTTTGTCATTTACTGACATCATCAGTGCTGGTGTTTTTATTTTCTGACTTATTTGTCTAAGATGCTTTTCTGCTGGAAACCTCCAGCCCTTTTAGTCCAACCAACCAACCATGGAAAAATGTTGCTCAACGTTTTGAACACTGCAGACATTAAATCAAATCGTTTAACAAAAAAAAAAGTTTGCTTACATTTTTTTTTTCATTTAAAGCTATTCAAAAAGTTATGTAAAAAACATGCATTTATATATTTTAGTTTTAATTTTTATGGTAAACTTAAAAAGGAAGGGGTTGTTGCAGTCAGATTTACCCTGTTGTCCAGTCCAGGCATCTTGTTAGCTTGAACATGTCTTTTTTTTGAATAACATTAACTCTAAAATGATTTACTTCCTGATTCAATCACTTCAGTGACTGTAATTTTACAAAGCCATGCAGCTTGTGAATTTCCAAAAGTGCTCTGGAAGGGCTGCATGTATGTCGCACCGCTGTATAAGTCGCATCAGTCGCATCAGTCCAAATATGTTTAATAAAGTGGAAAAAAAACATAAATACGTCACTTCATCATATAAGTAGCATCTATTATGCATCATCAATGACAACCCAGAAATGTGGGCCGGTGTTGTGTCAAAATTCGACTGGCTGCCAAATGGCGGCCGCAGGAGCATGCACGGGAGGACTTTAACAAGAATTTCACTTAAAAAAAATTATTTGTTTGCTCAAAATTATAGCAAAGGTGTGTCTGAGTTTAACTTTTCCTTAATAAATGCACTTTGATGGTCAAAGCAGCTGTATTTCAAAAGTATCCGTTGCCTCGGTGTTTGCTCCAGGAGAGCTGGACAAAGGTAGAGGTCTGTGGCAAGCTGATTGTGTCATTAATTGTCACTTATACCTATTACATGACACAATGGCATGCCATACTGCTCGAGTACCATCTAGCGGTTGAAAATGATAGTGTTCAATTTTTTCAATGTCAGAATGAATGAAAATGGTCATATTTCAGCTAAAAATTAGTTTATAAATATGGGGAAAAACATAAATACGTTGCTTTGGTGTATAATTCGCAGGGCATGTAAATTATGAAAAAAAACTGTGACTTATAGGCTGAAAAATACGGTACCAGTTTGTTCAGACCGCTTTAGTGATGAGTCAGAAATATATGGGGACAAAAATCTTTAGAGCATCTACTGCAAGTAAAATGCACGTGATTTTAGTTGCTCGTTTTCTAAAATAACTTCAGAGTTTGTGTGGTTATGTGCTTTTTAGAGTTCTCATATCTTACCCATCAAAAAGACGTCTCCTTGTGGACTCGATTGCACTGTCCACGTTACGTATGGCCTGCTCTATCGAAGTACTCACAAAGGTGTCACCCTCACGGCTGATTGCGGGCACTGAGAAAAACAGATTAAAGACAAAATCAAGTAAAAACAAAAAACAAAAAAAACAGTACAAGTCATAAACAATCACGTTTTATTTATAGAATATTCTCTTTTCTTAAATCCATTTAAGCACATTTATGTTTAGAAAATTCCCCAAATTTTAAAAGCAGTTGACTTTAGAGCATCAGTATGTTGGCTTCTTTATGACGCTGGAGTGGACACATTTCTGGCACACCCCATTCTGCTCTTGCACCACTGAAAACAGTGAGATTGTGACGTGAAGACTGAGAGAGTCCAAGAAAAACCGAACACTTCATTTCAGTTTATGTTTCGCCAGCAGAGTGTTCGCAGTTCAGCCTCGCACATCTCAGCAGGAAACACCAACACACACACAGAAAAACTGAAGGGAATCTAACAGGTCTGCAGCAGAGTGTGACTAAATTACTGTGTGACTCAGTCAAAGATCATCAACCATGATCAACAGTGATTTTAGAAAAGCACATGCAAATGCTCATCAATGTGGAAAAGGAATAAAGAAAATGTCTAAACTATTTTGAGTAAATTATTCTATACTTTGAAATAATTTATTAGGAAAAAAGATTCAAGGCATCTGCCTATTTTGCAGAGTGGATCTTGCTGCAAGTTCACCATGAGGTCATAGGTACATTTTAAGACTCTACAAACCTCATTTATCATGTTCAATGTTAAAAATTATGACAGGGCAATTAGAACAAGCAATATGCCGATGACACCCTTTGCTGAAGGATTTGAATAGTGAATATTTGTAGTTTTTGAGTGTTTTTCTGGAGTGGAATTGACCAGGGAATGCCTTAATGTTTTTGGTGCAAAAACTCAAGTGAGTAGGAGTTATACTGCATAGAAGAAGAAAGGTAGTTTTATTTTTTTTCTTGTCTGAAGCAGTGCAGAGTGACAGATCCTGGTGAGCAGAGGGAGAAAATTTATCCACCACCAGGTGCAATGGTGGAGGCAGGTGGTGGCCAATGGTGGCCTTGTCCCCCATAGATTAAGCTTTGGCCATCCCACTGGCCACCCAAATCATGTGAGTAAACTATACTTTTAAACAATATAAAAACTACAAAGCACAGTTTCCTCAAATGATAAGGGTGGTCAGTTTAAATATATAGTATATGTGGCGGTGGCCTTTTTGGATTTTGACATGGCAACCCGATATTCAAAAGGAACCTTTCTTACACCTAGGTGCAAAAGGAAGTTGGCCTATTGCTTATTTTTTTTAGGTTATCCAGCTCACAAGGTTTATATATAAAAAGTAGTGGCCATCTTGGATTTTGATCTGGCAACCCAATTTTTGAAAGGAATCTTTCTTACACCTAGATACAGACACACACACAAATGGATATTGTGTCGCTACCTCACTAAGGGTGTTTTCACACCCGATAGTCCAATAGACTCAGTTCAGTTGGGGACTAATATTCATAACATTTGTTTACATTTTCAGCTGGTGCGGTTTGCATTCACACTGCACTGAGTCAGTCAAGCCAACCTGTTCCCCACCTCGCCTGTGGTGGTGCTGCACCAAGAACTACTTAAGGAAACAACACAAAAACCTCTGAAGAAGACACTTCTGGAGTGACATCAAATTTTAATGGTTCTAGGATTTCTGTTTTGTCATTTTTCAACAATGGACTCGGCATGAGTGGAAGATGAGGCAGAAGACCATGGAGGATGTTGTTTTTCACACAAGGCAGCTGAGACAGCTCTGTATGAGGTAAGATAAATGTGTGTATGTTTGCCCTGCGCTGTAGTCTACTTCCTGCTTTTGGAGCGGTCTCCGGTCTGCTTGCATTCACAATGCATTTGAACAGCGCTTCACTTCAACCAAACCGAGACCTAGGTTTTTAGGCGGACCAGAGTTCATTTTTTTGGTACGTATCAAAGTTCGACTGTGCATTGACACCTCCCCAAACGAACCAGACTTTCTAGGCAAATGGACTAGAGTTTGATTAAAGCAGACTAAACAGGGCTGCTGTGAATTTATCCTTATTTTGAAGTTGTGCTCAAAAAATTCACTCCGCAATGGGGAACAACAAAACACAGCTGAGGTTTATAAAGTTGCATTTGAACAAACTAAAGCACTTCTAGAACAATGATTTCTAAATTAAGTAGAAATAACCATTTTTTACCTGTGACTGTGAGCACCATACTAGCAACCTGGTAGCCGATAGGGTTGCGGGCAACACACTCATAGCGACCACCATCTGCTGTGCCAACATCTTTCACTTCCAGGTAACCCTCAGGGCTGATGTGGAACTTCCCACTTTCTGTCACCTGTACACCATCCTAAAGAACGATAGAAAAGGAAAAGATTAGGAACTTTAGACCTCAGACCAACTTTAATGGCCAAGTCATTTCAAAATTTTACTTCAGTTTTTTTCTATAGTTCTCTCTTAACCACTCCAATAAACATCTGAGATGATGCGGACACAAGGTGAATGGTTCTGACCTTGTTCCAGGTGAGGCTTGGCCTCGGCTGGCCCTGAGCTCTGCAGGGAATCTGTACATCCTGGCCAGCCTCCACGGTCAGGTCCCTTGGAGCATTTGTGAAAACAGGCGTTACTGAATGAGTTAAAACATACACACGTGTGTTAATGATTCTGCACCAGTCCCGAATGTGCTAAACATGGGCAAGTCAGTTTGCAATAACAGCAGTTTTGAAACTCAAGATTAGTATTTTTTGAACAGATCCACTCAACAGTGTTTGCAAACATTGTTACTTATTTTTATAATATAAAATGGTGATGTCATGTTGCATAGAGCCACCAGTTTAGATAAATCCTACAAGAAAAACTAAAAGCCGATTTATTTACAAACAAGTATTAAGGGGTCAGCTTTTTTCCACATTCTCACCTCTCTGCTCAATGCTAAGTTGCACTGTAGTTGTCACAGTGCCCACTGTGTTGACCGCCTGACACTCGTACTGACCCTCGTCGTGCGCTGCCACCCGTGTGATACGGAGCGTACCAGAGGACAATATAACGTGACGACGGTCTGAAGGCAGCGGACTTCCCCCTCGAGTCCAGACAATCACGGGTACCGGGTTACCACTTGCCTCACAGGGAAAATCCACTGTATGACCCTCCAGGATGGACTGGTCCTGTGGTGTGACAGTTAACTGGGGGATTTCTAGATATAGGGAAAAAGGAGCATGTAAAAACAAATATGTATGATTACATTTATGCACAGTACTGAACGTTACATACAAACCCACCATGCACAGTGTCACACAGTGCATTTGCTCATTATTCAGAATAAGGCATTTCTATAACCCATTTTCCCTTACTGTATATGTTTCAGTGCGTCATGTTCAAATAAACAATTCAGGCCACAAACTCAAGTAGTTTCATTCCCGCCTGACACTTCTCTCTCTTATTTCTTTAGCACTGTGCTCATGGAGCTGTATAAACGTTGTTCACTGCCATTATGGTTGTGGTCTTACAGGGTTTTTAACAGTAAGGAACCATTATCCACCATGTACTTTAAGCCACCTTAACAGCCATTACTACATGGAAAAACATAGTGTCATCTCAGGATTACAGGCTGCCATGCTTTCCTGTGCGACATCAAGCCTGTAATTTTAGCTACACACTCAATGAAATCACATCCATGAAGAGCAATAAAGTTGTTACACATAAACTTTTATGGAAAAAAAATAAAATAAAACAGCAAACATAGAACACATTGTAGTACAATTCAGTATATGGCTAAAGGCTTCAAAGAACATTGCTTCATTTATTACAAATAACTTAATCTGAACCAAATAAAACCTTAATCTATCTCTTTACTGTAATGACTTGTGCTTTAGTTTGTTTTCCTTTTGTCCCTGCAACACATGGAAGACAGATGTGCAATGCACATTTTGATGGTGTAACATTTTAAAAGCATACTGCCATGTACAAGTTACAAATTAGCTTCCAATAAAGAGAACTGCACCAAACCAAGCCTCCCTAAAGTCACCACCCAACACTCCCGACACAAACACACAGCTATTGAGGACGGAATGTGACAAAATGAAATAAATAAGTACATAATACAAACATAACAATTAAATGTATCATTTAATTATTAAATACATTATTAAATCATTAAATATACAACTAAATTATTAAATACACCATTAAATAAGAAATGTACCTTTTAAATGATTTATTTAATTATTTATTTATTTAATTTTGTCACCTTCCATCCTCCAGTAACACCATGAAATGATGTTAACTGTCAGTCTCACTCGTCAAGCTCAGTGGGCGGGACTAACAAACCCTGACGCCTGATTGGCTGCTTACAGCAAGCGAAGACAAATCGACCACAGATAAAGGAAGGATCCACAGGCCACGTTCCGAAACTTTAGGAAGCAGTAATTGTGTTGAAACCGTTTTTCATACCATGAATGTAAAGAAGAAGGCGCGTTTTTATGAGAAGCAGCAAATTTAAATGAAAAAGCTCTCTCAGGCAAAGTTAGTCCCGCCCACTGAGTTTGATGAGTGAGACTGACAGTTCATCATTTCATGGTGACACACGAGGGTGGAATGTGACAAAATTCTGGAGAGTGATGTAAAAAATGCCAGATCAATGTGTATGTTTAAGAGAATGATCAAAGTTGATTTGCTAAAAAAAAATACAAAATAGTTTATTGTGTATTTGTATGAATTGTTGCTTGAGAAGGAGTTATTTATTTTGATTTTGTTATTTGAAGATTATTATTGTTTGAATTATTTTTTTATTTTTGGTAAAAAGGGGCAGATATAATATTTGTTCTTCTTTCTGCCGCCTTTCATTTTATTTGTGATTGTATTTCTTATTGTATATAGAATTGTTTTGTTTAAAAAAAAGAATAAACTTTATAATAAAAAAATCATGATATAAATAATGTAATTGTGTATTTGATGATGTATTTAATATTTAAATGATACATTTCATTATTATGTATTTATTTATTTAATTTCGTCACATTCTGTCCTCCATACACAGCAACCTTATTATTTAAAACATTGATGTATTTCAAGTTGTCCTGAAAGACAGAACAATGAAGCTCATTATGGACTTCACGTCTGATTTTTTGGGTTTAGTTATTTTTTGTTTGTGAGGTCTTTTAAAGGTTTATTGTAAGAGTCTACTTATTAACATAAAACATGATAATATCTAGTGGTCTGTTATAATCAACATTCTCACCTCTCTGCTCGATGCGGAGTTGCACAGTAGTTCTCACAGTCCTCACTGTGTTGACCGCCTGACACTCGTACTGACCCTCGTCGTGCACTGCCACTCGAGTGATGCGGAATGTACCAGAGGACAATATAACGTGACGACGGTCTGAAGGCAGCGGATTTCCTCCTCGAGTCCAGACAATTACAGGCTCCGGGTTACCGCTTGCCTCGCAAGGGAAATCCACACTGTGACCCTCCAGGATGGACTGGTCCTGTGGCGTGACGGTGAACTGGGGGATTGCTGAATATTGAAAAAAGGGGTGTGTACACACTGTAAGATACCGACAGCAGCAAGGCTATGTAGGCTTTGCCATTGGCTCTGTATGCATCTAAGAAATGGCAATGAACCAATTAGTTATACTATTGTGTAATAAAAGTTTTTTTTTTTTTTCAAATTGTAAAACGTTATGCAATATCAAACCTAAAGGAATACATTTAGGTATTTGTAAACCCGTAGCTTGTTGTACCTTGTACAATGATGTGAGCCGTGGCATGTATTGTATCCACATTGTTGGAGGCGAAACACGTATACTGTCCCTCATCAGCCCGGACCACGTTCTGAATGTAAAGCCCTCCGGAGGGGGTGATGTTGATGCGAGCATCGCTGGGCAGGGGCGTGCGGTCAGCCTTGGTCCAGGTGATTCTCGGCTGTGGATGGCCGGTGGCGCTGCACTCCAGGGTCACACTCTCCCCAACAAGGACCTCTGTGTTTTGGGGCTGGATCACAAAACTAGACCGGGCTGCAGGAGGAGCAAGAGAAAGAAGAAATGTGGTAAGAATACTTGGATGGTAAAAGCTCAAAATAACTTCAATGTGTCAATAAACAAGCATTGAATTATGGGTGATTTTGGAACATTTTTAATATGTAACCTTGTGTAGTCACATGGTTTTTCCACATAGAATCACATAAGAAACATGGGAAATTCATGCAGTATTTCTGAAAAGGGTTCCTGTTTATTTGTCAAAAAATATCATTATAAAATTCATTATCATGTTAAATGCTAAACCAACCTAAAATGTATTAATGATGTCTAAACTATGTCACAAGCTTGCATGTTAAAAATGTATGATTTAACTGTTCAAAGTGCTGTGTAGAAATCTACACTTACTTTATTGCAACACATTTTTTGTTACTGAAGAAAAAAATAGGTTTGTGTTAAAACTCTGCTCTGCCCCAACTTTTATTTTAGTCAAAGCTGTGAAACTCCAAGTTGATCTTTGTGTTTATTTGGTCAGTGATTACTGTGGAATCAGGAAATATGTATACAGACAGGAAATGCATAACATCTGCTTTCAGAAACCACTGATGACCCTGGTGTCATCCACAAAGCAGTCACGAAAATTTCCCACAAGATTCAAAAAAATATATATATATTTTTTTTAATTTAGGCCAACAAATTCTTGATGTTATGTATCAAATACATGTGCCACATAAGGCATGACTCCAGTCCTTTGGAAAATAAATAAACTAAACTCTGGAGACAGAAAATGAAGAATGCATAAAGAGGATGAGACGGCAAACAGATTGCACTTCAATTCTTGTAAAAAGCAATTTTCACATGAAAGAGCAGATTTTGCTTAGATTTTAGGGCATCCTTTGCTCACTCATCAACTCTGACTACATCACCACTTACCCTGCTATCCAAATAATAAGAGTTTTAACACAATGACACAAAAAAAAATCTTCCATTGAACTTCTTTTTATTCCTGAAAATATCCCATATTCTGCCTAAACATACCATAAAGTACTTATTAGTAGTACTAATACTAATTTGTAAAGCGTCCACTTACAGGGGGCTCCAAAGTATCGCAGAGTGACCTCAGAGGTCTTGACCTCCCCAGCCACATTTTTGGCCATGCACTGGTAGACTCCCTGGTCTGTCTCTCTGGGGTCCTGAATCATCAGCGTCCCGTCTTCCAGCAGGTTCAGACGACTGTCATCCCGCATATTTAAAGCATTGCTAAAAGAAAGAATACACACATATCCTGTGATTAATGTTTATTCGATGATTAATGTTTATTTTTTAGTTTAGAAGCTGACGTAGTTATATCAGTGAAGACTACTTTCTTTTAAGTATAACTTTGATGAAAGCATATTTAGGAATGAAGCTATTTAAGTCCAAGACTAGATTCATCCTGTGTCTGGAATCCCAGCTGTTGGTGTCTTACTTGTTCCTGAGCCAGATAATCTGTGGTTTGGGGTTGCCCTCTGCCCTGCAGGTGAAGTAGACAGTGTTTCCAGACGTGACTTCAACATCCTGGGGCTGTGAGGTGATCCTTGGCATCTCTAGGTGCACAAGATAAGACAATAGAAAATGCATTTACTGTAACTACCGGTAGTTATGAATGTCCAAGAATGGTTACATATACAATATAATGATGTTAAAAAAAAGTTCATTTTTGTGCTGACATGATGTGTTAGATTCTCTCCAGATGTGGCATTATGGCCAAACATTGTGACTTTGGTCTTGTCTCTGCAAAGGATATTGATCCAGAAGTCTTGTGGTTTGTTCCCATGCGGCTTTTAAAACTCAAGTAGTGCTGTCATGTCACATGTTTTCAGACATAAGTTTTTTTATTTATTTTTTTATTTTTTTAACAGAAACCTTTCAAAATAAGTCAAACTTGTTTAGATTTATTTTACAATTATCTTGTCATGATCTTAATGGAGGCCTGTAGAGTCTAAAATGGCGCTCTTGGATTTTGTTTTTGCAATATCGTCAACCATGCACTGGACAAATCAGTTAAATCTACTTTGTACCTTCTTTTAAATCTTTTAAATTTTTCTACGAACGTGGGAGAGTGGAAAACTTCAGAAACTTAAACCAAATTGTATAAAATTTCCAAAAGTGTTTTCTAAACTCTGTGGTCATCTCAAACAAAAGTTGCCACATATTTTTGTATACAAGTGTGTCAATCCTAAAACTCACAGAAGCAACGAACAGGAAACGATCCCATTTCCCAAAGGGGGACGAAACCTCCCACAGTCTTTGTGGATGCTGACCAAGACACAGTTCAAATGCACTCATCCAAGCAAGTCTCCTAATGCTGCTTACAGAGAACAGTTCAGTAAAGCAATCCAACCTCATGCAGTCAGTCCTATAAGGCTGTTCTTTCAATAATGCAGTGCACTAAAACTCTAACTAACCCATCTAAAACCCTAACTAACCCATCTATGAGAAGACAAGCTTTCCTAATTAGACCCCACTTGTACAGAGAGATACACTTAAGCTTGAGAAAGATTGTTTTGAGCAGCTCAAGCTATTTTGATAGATCCACACTGCTTACAGGCACTCAAGTGTGACAAAAAAAGAAGGGGGGGGGGGGGGAGGAGACAGCTGGAGGTGTAGGCTAGATTTCACAGTATCTAAAAGGAGACATTTTACACCTGGTGCCCTTTATGCAGACTGATGAAAGAAAAGGGGGTTACTCTAGGCAGGGTTGGGCATGTTACAGCCAACAAATTAGCTGCTGAGATGAAACTGGTTGAGTTACAGCTGACTGGCTTCATACACAGAATTTAGATAAGGCTGGAGACATGTTAAACACTGGATTTAGTGTAATAAAAGTTTACAGTCACATAACTGGAATCACTCACAAATATGCAGTGCACATAATTTGTTCTTCTTTTTGACTCTTTGCACTGTAGAAAAGTAGGAACACATTTTTCTGTTGTTGCACAGGCACACATTTTCAAAACAACTGTTAATACAATCAAAAATCTGACCTCATACTGGTAAACTATAGTAGTGGAAGTGTATTATATTCTAACACAAAAACAACCATGGGCAAATGTAGGGGAGTACAAGTGGTGCTGAAGCATGCAGTGGACAAATCAAATCAAATTCAGCCTGAAGCGTCTGTAAAACTTTAACCTGTCTAGGCTGTGCGAATGACTTCATGACTTCCCAGATGTACATATGTTCCCTTTGGTTTCAAAAGTTAAACAAATGTAAAGCCAGTTGAGTTTAATTAGGATACTGGATGATGATGTTAATGTAGCGGCATGTTGCAAAGGGATGACGCAATGCACTTCTTATGTCAATAAAAGCTGGTGTGCAGAGAAGCATTACTGAGAAAATGAAATGCTAAATCTGTCAAACAAGACATTTTACATACAACCGTAATGCTCGGTGTTTAACTTTGCCTCGTGGTGGATTTTCTAAAATAATGGTGCACTTGATGGATGGATGCAACAACAGGAAATAAAACGAAGAAACAACTGCTATAGCAAGCGGAGCATATGTAGAAATTGTGGCAACAGATAAAACAAAGCAGGAAGTATAACAATCACAACAATCAGATTCAAAATGGAACATTCTTAACTGTCTGTAGCCATGACACATTTAGATTCAACAAGTATCACATGTTCTTTCGATAACATATGATATGATGTGAAAATCACGTATCAGTCATAATATATTCTTTGGAATCAGTAACATAATATCATTTTTTGTTCGTAATCCGTACCACAGTTGAGCTCCTGTGCGGTAAGTGTGGCCACTGATCGTCCCTGCAGGCGGCTGGGATAGTCGCATGTGGCGGCAGCCTGAGCGTTTCCCGATTCGGCGTACTGCTTCAGCAGGTCAGCCAGCCACAGCAGCTCACAGTCACAGTTTAATGAATTGGAATCCAGTCGCCTGCGCACACGGAGACACAAAACCAAAAGTCAGGTGTATGATCTACTAGATTCACCAAACAGATGCTGATGGTCATGATTTTTTTTTTTTAGTATGTAGTCATTAACTACAATCTAAACAGCGGAGAAGGAGGCTTAAAACTGAGAAATGATGGAACTATGGCAAGAAAGACAAACATATAATAAGGAAACAAGGCCAACCAACAGAAATATACACAACAAAGGAAGCAAAGTATAAAAAAATAGCTAAATGTGATGCAGACTTTGACTTTTTTTTCAATTAAAATTAGGGATTTGGTCAAGAGTAATGGTCTACATAAAGCAATTTGTGGTTCAGGACACTTTCAAATGTGCCCTGAAAGATCAGATCTCTGTGAATCACTCAGTCCTCCACCCTTCATTCACTTTGCTGTGTATACAACAAAGTGATGCACACTTCCGTCGACCAGTGTCCGACACTGTCAAACCCAGCCCAGCTCAGTGCAAACAGTGGGGCCCACTGGTACCATTGGAGAACACAGACTGTTCTCGCTGTGGGAAACTGTTTCTCAGATTAGCCTCTTCTTTATGGGATCTGGTCAAACTTTTCAGCTCTATCAGTTCTTTATCACTTTAAGGTGTTTTGCACAGCGAGGCTATCTGCTTCAAAATACCAGTTTGTTTTAAATATGTTTGTAGGTCATGCTCTGCATTTTAAAGAATGTCACAGTTTGTGTCGTTAAGTTTTCGGTGATTGTGTTTTACTTGTTTCCAGCTTCTCCAGTGCGTCTCCCCTCATATAGTTCAGCTCCTGTACCTTCCGCTCTCACCTGATCCTCATTGTCTTTCCCCAGGTGTTCATCATCTGTCACTAGTGTCTCTTTAAATACAGTGCCATTTTGTTTGTCCCTCGTCCGTGCATTGTGTCTTCATGTTTGTTTTTCCCATCAAGTCTTCCAGTCATTTTTCCTGTGAGTATTTTGCTGCCACGTCAGCCTTTTGTTTTTGCTTTCGTTTATTACTTTAGTTATTTTTACACCTGAGCCTTGAGTTTTGTCTGCACTGTGGGTTCAACTCCTCACCAAACATGATGTAGAATTGTTTATTTTACTATCCTTCAATTTAAAGTAATATTTAGAGAAAAATCAGCTATAATTCACGGAACTTTGCATTATGTCTTAGGATATTAGAATATTGAGCACTCTCATTAATTGGACACTAAAATCTTGCCAAACTATGACAACAGGCCTTTTTTTTCATTTAGCCTTCATTTATACAGGTAGAATGTCCTTCACTTTCTGTTATCTGGAGAAAGATGGCGCTCAAAGTCAAATCAGATATAATTGGCCTTAACATTCCCCCAAAATGCCTAAAATACCTGAAAAAGTCAGACTCAAATTTTTTTTTTTTTTTTTTTTTTCATTTAGCCTTTATTTATCCAGGTTAGTCTCATTGAGCCACGAGAACTCATTTTCAAGAGAGACCTGTTTAGGGAGCACATGGTGGGGGTTAAGGGCCTTGCTCATGGGCCCAGAGTGGGGCGAATGAGGGTGGGGGCAAGTATGAGTGTTTCACCTACCCCACCCACAATTTTGATGTTGTCGGGGCTGGGGCGTGAACCGGCGATCTTCGGATCACAAGCCCACCTCTCTAACCTCTGCGCCACCGAATGAAGTCAGATGCTGTTTTTAAAGCCTTCAGAGTAGTTTGGTGTCACTGTAAAGTAACTATAATTAGTATGTAGCTAATACTCTGGATACTTTTGGTTTTGGACAGATAATGGAATGACGTAGGTCTCAGTAGAAAAAGGGCCTATGCAGTCATTTGATGTGGTGTTTAAACTTGAACCTAATTACAATATTTTAGGGATTTGTCCCATTTTGTGAAAACTAGATTGTAGAATTTTTAAATCAGACTCCAACCAGCACAGTCTTTTTCAACCTTCACTTTAACAACTTTAAGACAGGAACAGTTAACAGTTAAGGCTTCGAGGCTTGCAGCCAGAATATGGAGTGACATCACTGATACACAGGCTTCATCTGGGACTGATTGGCTTGCTGCTTAACTGCAGAGGTTGACTCAAGACATGTATTCTCACACACATACTGATATTTATGGGTTGCTTTTTTGTTACTTACAGTCGCTTCATAGACTCAAGGTGAGAGAAGGTTCCTGGAACAAGCTGGGTAATTCTATTGTTGTGCAAAAACCTAAGAAAAAACAAAAAAATTGTTGGAAAAAGATCCAATGTTATTTTGTTACAGGGTTGTATAATAAAATCTGCAGGGTATTTTTAAGCCAATCTTTTTTTTTTAAACAAGACAGGAACTATGATCATTTTCTCATATATGACATTATTGTTCAGTTAGACATCTTGGGCATCATTTTTTTGTTTGTTTGTGCAAAACATCGTAAATAACATTAACTTATTTTAACATTTGATACATTTTTCATATTCTTCCCCTTCAGATATATGATCTATGGGTTTTCCACATCTCAGCTTTGACTGTGTTCATGGAAATATTCCCAACAACAACAACAAAGTATGCACCTGGGAATTCCTTCCTGCTCCTTTTCCTTGTTTTTAGCTGCAGGTGTTTTCACAATCACACACACACACACTCACAAGTCTGCATGGATGAAAACACGGAGCAGGAACTGACTCATAAAACAATAAAACAAGAATCTGATAAGAGGCTTCAACTCAACAAAGGAACAAATGAGAAGTAGTAAGCTTTATAAAAACACACAAACCTGCGTGAATTAAAAAAAAAAGTTTAGCATGTCAAAAAAAATTACATGTTCAAGTTTTACTTTCTACATAAACTATGTCTCATGTTTCTGAAGCCATACTCTTTTCTTACTTCATGAGTTTGAGGATTTTTACCCTTAACCCATTCCCTTTAATTAATCCTGATTTCATACACACTAGGTGGAAAAAGCCATGGCTGCCAGCCGCCCTGTCCAAGAGACAGTGAAGCAATCTCAAACAATATTTCACAGCTGATATCAAGTTTATCTAATAAAATAGGTCTTAACTCAACCAACATGTTTCTTTTTTTGGGTTAAACAAACCTGTAAACTGGTCTTTGTGTTCCTATTTTTGATAAAGCGCAATAAGACAACTTGTTTGTTTAATCAGTTTTAGACTAATTCTCTTAAAAATTAGTCAAAACATCCAAATTTGATACTAAAAGTTACAGAAAATGTTGAACCTCTCTGAATGGTTTGATTTTATGTTTCAACAAAAGCTAAAGAATTAGCCATTTTAGCATATAGCTTAAAAACGTGACCATCAAGCTCCTTGTGAAAACCCTCTGTTCTTGCAAGGAGCTGCTTTAAATAGTTGCAACTTTAAATAAAGGCCATGCTTGATTAATCTGATTAAAATTCAAACAGTTTATTGGCAAATTTATTTTACAATAAATAATAAGACCTCACAAGGAAGTTGGCTTAACTAAACAGAAATATGTTGCTTCAATTTCTAAGTTATTCAATGTCAAAATAAACACAATGTGGACGTAAGGCAAATCATTTCATGATGCAAAAATAACATTTTCATCTCAAAAAAAGAGACTAAAGCCTATGAATCCAGTTGTAGCTGCAGACCTAATAGTCCACTTATTTATTAGTGAATACATCCAAGATTTAAAAGCTTTATACTTTTGAACATTGCATTATTTATAACTATATTAGCATTGAGCCCATTTTCAGATGTGGAGGTTTAAGGGCAAACACAGTGGACTTACAGTCGTTCCAGCTTTGGCAGATGAGTGAATGATTCTGGTTCCAAAGACTCAATGTTGTTGAAGTGAAGGTACCTGCAAAGAACAAAACGTAGACAAAGTAGAGTAAAGCCCGATTATAAATCTCATAGTCCGAGCAGGCACTGCAATAACGAGGAGACAATGGAACCTCTGAAGTTCTCATTTATCACTGAGATAAGAAAACCCAGATGAAACAAGACCTCATGCTCCACAAATCTGGACAGATTAGAGGAATTTGCACAGCAGGCATTCATTGCACGTTTGTTCTAAAATGTGATGCCTAGAGGCTGCTTTTAAAATGCATTTGAGTACAGGTGAAAATCAAGTTAAACAATCCTCTCATGGAATGCAAACATAAAGTCTAATGTTGATGGAGAGTTTCCACTCCCTTAAACGCTTCACATTCAGCTTAAAATGCATGCACTTCTTCTCTAAGGTTTATACACAATTCTCTAAAATGGCAGAGAAAAACAGACTGTAAAACTAAAATATCCATCTTATTTAGGAATTCAGACAGTTCTTGGTAGAGTTGGGTCAAATTTGATTTCTGTAGCGCATTTCAAAACAGCCTCAGTTGACCATAAATGTTGTATGAGCTTTACAATAAAATCAATGATTAGTAAATCTGTATTAGGTATGCACTACAAAAAAACCTAATTAAATAGAGCACAATCAAAAATGCCGTTGAGCTTGCACACTGAAAGCCAAAACAATCGACAAGGCTAAAAGTCAGACAGAAGAAATGGCTTAATTACGAGATGCACTCGTTATTATATAAAATGGATGGCTGTTCTATACCCATTAGGATCTGCCACTGCAAAGCCTTTGTCACCACTGCTTTAACGCATGTATCTTGTAAGAAATTAGAGAAATTTGCTTGTAAACCTTAGTGATTTCATAGGAGTCTGAGGGCCAAACAAGTAAGTTGGTGCCAAACCTTTAGGACTCTTCAAAACAAGAAATAAACTTTTAAAACAGGCCCTGATGACTAATATTGAAGTATTATTTTCATTCTGAAATGCACCATTTAGTTTAAGTTCACTTTGTCATTCCAGTTGTATTTAAAGTTCAGTCGAAAAAAAACAGAGTTCCTCCAGATCTGAATACTACTAATAATAATAATGTGCTATGTGTTGTCTGACTAATGTAATAAATTTATTTAATGTAATAGATTTGCCAATTGAAACAAATAATAATGTTCTACTGTATATACTGTATGTGTTCTCCTTTTTGCCTTGTTAGCTACTTTCCAACTGTTTTTTTGTTTATTTCAGTTTTTTCAGACAATTTCCACTTTTTTTTGTTCTCATTTCTGCTTATTTCAGCCTAACTGGAACAGGTCCCTCGTGTAAATGAGTCCCCGTGGCTCAATGAGGCTAGCCTGTATAAATAAAGGTTGAATGAATGTAATGTAATATATTTATATTAACAATTGAAACAAATAAATAATGTGCTATGCATTGTATTAACTCTGAGACCCTACAGAGAGATGACTCTAATTCTATGGTTCCCAACACTGATCCTTGAGGAACACCATCCTGCATGTTGATTCCCTGCTTTGACACACCTGATTTGAATGAATGTGTGATTAACAGGCTTTTGCAGAACTTGAGGAAGATATTAAATCACTGAATCAGGTGTGATGAAGCAGAGAAACAACGAAAACATGCTGGATAATGTTCCTCGAGGACCAGCAGGGAACCACTGCTCTAATTAATTTAGTTTGGATGAGTGAACTCAAGTGTTGTAGAAGCATCTTTCATTCTCCTCAATATGAGTTGCAAGATAATAGTTCAAAAATAATTTAGTGCAGCTAAAATAGTTTTTATAGTCAATAGACTACTAATTTTACTTCAGCTCATTAACCCTGGTTACATTTTACAAAATAATTAATTTGCACATTTTTATATTGCAATAGAAACAAACTCCTATTTTATCTTTACATAATAGCTTGCTCACTGACCAATAATTTGGAACTTCTCTTTATACAAATCAATTAGAGAATAACACTTGAAGTATTAAGGATTAAGTATTTTCGCTGTGATTTGTTTTATTGGCATAGGTGTAAAATTATTTTTACTGTAGTAAAATTCAAAATAGCTGCTTGGTATAATATAAGAGGTTTACAATGCATTTATTTCCATAAGCTACATAAAAACCCAATTCCTGCATTTCAGGCTTGCAAAACATTCTAAATAAAGTTAGGACAATGAATACCATACTTTCTGCCGTACACATCGCACTGCCCTATAAGTCGCATCAGTCCAAATATGTCTAATAAAGTGAAAAAATCCATAAATATGTTGCTTCGCCATATACATCGCATCTATTATGCGCGACGCGTCGCGTTTGTTACGTGTCACCGATGACAACTCGGAAATGTGGGCCGGCGTTTTGATAAAAAAATATTGGCTGCCAAATGGCGGCCATGGGAGCGTTCACGGGAGGACTTTAACAAGATTAACACTTAAAAACAATTATTTGTTTGCTCAAAGTTATAACAAAGTTAATTTTAACCTTTCCTTGATAAATGCACTTTTATGATCAAATAAGCTGCATTTTCAAAAACCGATACGCGGACGTAGGCGTGCGTGCACGAGAGGACACGCTGTGCATTTCTTTGAAATTTAATAAGATAACCACCTAAAAACAATTATTTGTTTGCTCGACTTTATAGTAAATGTGTGTCTCAGTTGAACTTTTTCTTTTTCTTAATAAATGCACTTCAATGGTCAAATTAACTGCGTTTCGTCGGGGTGGCGCAGCAAAATGAAGCTGATTTAGCTCCAGGCGAGCTGAACAAAGGTGGCAGGCTGAAAATGTAGCATTCAGTATTTTCATTCATAATGAATGAAAATGGTCATATCTCAGCCAAAAATTTAGTTTATAAATATGGGAAGAATTTCATAAATACAGCACTTTGGCGTATAAGTCACAGGGCATGCAAATTATGCAAAAAACCGACTTGTATGCCGAAAAATATGTTCTGTACATTGAAAATGCTGCCAGCACTTAAAAGATTATCTGACTTTGAGGAGGTCAAGTGACTCAGCATTTCAGGTGTTATGTTGCCCAATTCATCTTGCAAACGCATCTTAGGGTATGAAAAGTTTTGGCGTCATTGTGACATTTCTGGTTTTTAAATGTGACACGTTCTCGGTCAGGCAGGTCAGTTCAGCACCTCTAATGTGTTCAAAGTCTAAAACGCAGGAATAGATTTATATTAACAACTGAAACAAAGCTAACAAAGCAAAAACATCAAATATATACTGTTTGTAATGAAATAAAATGGAGGTAAATGTAAGAATTTGCTTACACTGAACGCCCTACAAACTTCTGCAATTTTTTAAAATTCAATTCCAGGTTGTATAAGATTAATAACCGTTAACACGTTTTGCATCAGGTACTGTAAAAACATACAACTGAGTCAAAAGAAGCAGCTACATTTCATCACATAAGATACACACAAATCAAAATTCTCAATAAAAAAATAAAATAAAAATCAGAGAAGAGTCATGGTTTCCACAGCAACAAGACAGATGTGGGTCAAGCTTTGCTCTGCAGCAGCCCTGACTTAAATACAACACTGCAATAAATCAAGCTTTAGGGCAGCATATGGCTGCCATCCTGAACACACAACTCATGCTGAGGGGTCAAAGAGGGGCAGCACAGCACACAGGGGTGGGTGCACACACACCATGCATAGGGGCAGCAGAAAAAAGCCAAAACAACAAAAAAAAGACCATTGCACACAGCAATGGAAGCACACGTCTGCCTAAGACTTATACAGTAAAGAACATGCTTTTAGTGAATTCTATGGCCTAAGCATGTCAACGTTGCCATGTTTTGTGATTTCTTACAGAAATCTTTTAGGAGAAGGTGGGATACAGGCATTTACAAACGGGGATAGGAAGGTGGAGCATGGTGGGCAGAAGGAAAAGGGGAATAGGGAATTCGGTCACTTACAGTTGCTCAAGAGAAACAAGCCCCTTAAATGCTTGTCTGTCAATTGATTGGATTTCATTCTTGTACAAATAGCTGCAAAGAGATGATCAGTATCATTAGTAACACACACACACACACACGATTGTCTCAATTCTGCCTGCTTGTACTGATACAAAAAGCAGTTTATTGTCGTACAGTAAAAGAAGCTAATGAACTCCAAGCAACAACAAAAAAATTAAATGAATAAATAAAATTAGAATTGAGTTCGTATGAAATGAATTAAGTCATTGTTCTTGTGCAGCAAATCATTTTTCCATATGTCTCCATTTTCTAGTGACGTCCACGTTGTAACGTCTAACAGGCTGAAGCAATAAGCTGCATGTTCAGGATCAGGAGGCACTGAAAGACAAACAGCCTCCTCACGTGCCTGTTTTCTCTCAATAATACACGATAATATGAGATACTATAAGATACTAGAGAAGCAATGGCTTCCAGCTGTCTGCCCTTTCATCTCCCATCAGTTGTTTCACTTTTTCACTACAACACACACAACAAGACACTCAGATCAACAGGAATACAGCAATGCACAAACATTAATCACCTTTTGCAATTCAGTTTCCTGCCTGGGCCAACACTATCAGATGTTATAAAGAGGGAAAAATGTATGCTTCTTATAAACTAGGCAAATGTTAATTAGATCTAAACTTTGCTTTCAAATGAAGAAACTCTTTTAATGTATATATTCTACAAAAGAAAAAAGTACCCAAAGAGAACTGATAGAATATTTTGAAGTTAATTTATATATTTTTTTGTTTATATAAGCCTTTTTATTTCAGTTTCATTTTCTCTTCTAATTAAATCCGAGCACCAAAGATGATGCAATATCCTGATGCATGCTCATGATGATGATGATGCAAGTACATTTATTGTGTGTATTATTCTTCCTCAACACAATTATTTTACAGAATATACTGCTTTTTATGGCAGCTACAATAAACCTCCAAATTCATAAAATGTTTTGATGTAACCGGAAAATTTAGGCTGCCAAAAAGGGAGATAATTTTGGAATAATTAAGTTTAATTTTGTTCTCTTGCAGAAAACTCAGCTAATAGATAAAATACTATTCTGCAAAAAGCTTCTACATCACATTATTAAATATTACTAACAGTCAGTGTTTTTCAATTAGGCCTAGAATATTGTCACCTTACTTTGAATGATTTTTTTCCCCCTGTTTTTTATTTTTATTTTTTATATTTAACACAAATCAAATACACCACAGCAAAAAAAAAACAAGATTATTAAAAAAATGTGACATTTTTGAAAGAATTGTTGTTACCTGTCAACAGAGGGAGAAAAAAAAAAGATTTTAGGAGCATTTGCATATCTGAATATAAAAACAGGTTTAAACAAAATGGTTTATAACTCTAAGTTGTAAACTGAAACTGAAAAAAAGACAATTTAAATTTGACCATATTCTCCTCAGAGTGGTTGACTTATAATACTTATAGGCTACTCATGATCTTTAAAAATGCATTATTCATTTGAATTGGCCTA